GACTCAACCCTTGCTCGTGCACCCAAGCCCCGGAATTAAGGCCGCGGCGACAAGCTAGCCTTGCATCTTTCGAGCTTGACATGCATCGCCGCCAAACCAATGACTGATAATCATGAATGAAAGGAGGAAACCGTCGACTTACCTTCGGGGGCCGCCTTTGCTCCTTTCTTGGGAGCCTTGGTCTTCTTTTCTGGACGGTCCATAGCGGCGGCGTTGTCTGTGTTTTTGCGCTTGGGCGGCATAGAGGATGCGGAGTCGTCTTCTTGAGTACCGTCGAGGGAGTCGCGTGGACGTTGAGGCGATTCAGCGTGGTGTTGAGGACTGTGACTTGGGATGCTGGGGATAGGCGAACTTTGCTCTGGTCGACGAGGAAGCTCGTGCGTCTCCTTAATATCTGTGCGCTTGCTGCTACAGCAAAGAAACCGACGGAGCAGGTCGCAAAAGACCATCACAAGTCCGCTTGCTCTCACTGGTAAATATTGCTGACGTGCGCGGGTAGCTAGTGCCTTCCTAATACAGGCGCGGGCAAAATGCTCGCAGTGAATGTGTAATGCAAAAAATCTATGGTGACCTTTGGTTAAGGTGCGGGTCCAATCAAGTTCAGGAGTGCATGCGCAAAGGAGGCGCGACGAAGTGACATGGAGTAACATCGGTTTGTCGACCTACTAGTCGCGTCGCAAAAGTGACGCGGCATCATGTGTTCGCCGTCTGCCTAGGGCAAACATGCACTTCTCAACGGTGACTATGCACCTACCATCCCAACTTCCGCGATCAGATCAAGTACCAAGTGTGACGTAGACTGACTGCAGCGCACCAGCTTAGTGTCTTCTTTAATTATCTCCTAGTATACAGCCAGTGTACGCGAGTGCCTCTGACATGATCATCACGAACACCACACGCTGAGCTGCACCTGACAGTGATCGTTCCATGCCCATTGCCACGGGGGAACGCCAGACACATCTCTGATGCTCAATTCCAGGGTATACCTATGACAAACATCCAACGTTCATATCTTTACAATGTCCACACGCGTCCGTTCCCAGAGCTTGTGCGCGACTGCAACCCCTTTCTCCCTTTCTGCGTCACTGACGACAGCTGGTTGTACTATGACGCGGGCATATGTTCCTGCCGCGCGCCGTTTAGCTAAAGTGCCAGGGTTGACGACCAGTACAGACTCCACGACCTGGTCAGGGTTAGCATATTGCTCTCTAATGGGCGAGCCATCTTAGCATACCTTGACTGTGCCTTGAAGCACGCTAGGAGTTATGAGTATGTCAGGCCGTACATTCAGCATTTCGCCCAATTTGAGATAGCTCGTATCGAGCATGGTGCCCAAGGGAAGAAAAGGGCTGGGTAACGGTTCCTCTTCCAACTCTTCACCCTCTTTCCGCTCACTGTTCCCTGCCCCATTCTTCATGACCTTCTCCTCGATTGGCGCGGGCATGAATTGCTGCTTTTCTCTTCCAGTTGGCGGGAAAATGGGCAAGAAGCTCCGCTGCTCGAGGACGTTTCGAGCACACCGTTCATAAATATTCGTACTTCGTGCCTTGCCGCCTGCCAGCTCTTCCCTACGTAGCATGTCCAAGATATCGATCGACGACATGCCCACAGTCATTTCATTCATGCTGACAGTCATTGGGTTGGTCACGCATTGGACCATCTTTCCTGCAGCGCCCAGGCTAAGCTCTTTTTTGATGAACTTATCCTGCGGAAATGCAGCATGGTGGTGATGCGCGTCTCGTAAGCTGGGGACCAGAAGAACATTACATGTTGGTACGCGTTTGTTGAAGCTTTGGATGGCGCTCGAGACGTGGTGTCTGAATAGATCAGTCATGGTAGCCTGATCTGGGCTTACATTTGGTGGAGCATCGAAGTCTCCTGACCGAATTTGAGGATGTTCTGCGTCGAGGAATGGGCCCACTAGGATGATAGAGTCCGCGTATGCCTCAGCAGCATTGTCAAGGAAGGTGTGTAATGGGGCAAAGTCGAGATTCTGGTCGGTCGTGTAAGGTCCGGACGCAATCATGATGGTGAGAGGTCGGACATTCTCCGGATCGGAATCGGGCGTGTCGAGATATCTCGCGTTGATGGCATCCAATTCTTCGGGTCTTGTAGCAGGCGGATTCAGCAGTGGAAGTGATAGGACTTCCGACACTACGAATGAGTCACCCGAAGCGTTGGTACCTCGCAGCGCAACAATCTGGCCAGGAAAGAAGTCATACGACGATAGCCCTTCTACGTTCAGCGGTACACGTCGGCCTGAGCCGTGTCTTCGCGAGCCTTCAAGAACAAGTGATGCCGTGTTGAGTTTGCCTTCGCTTGTGTCGCTTGCAATCCTTCCGACTGCAATGATCTCGCTCGGTGACGGGTAATTGGGGTTGCCGAAGGCGCTTTCGTCCAGACCCGTTGTGTCCCTGAGTAGGTCACGGAATTCGTCAATCCTATCATCCAAGACTTCAGACGCTTCAGAGAGCTTCATGGCCATGGTGCGGTATGAGAACTTGGACATGTCCGTATTCGCCTTGAGTTTAATGCGAGGTTCTTTCGGTTCTTCTGACGGCGGCTCCGGGATGGCAATTTCGCTTTGCATGAATTGTTCGGTGATGTCGTTTGCGTTCGTACGGGAAGCGAAGTCAAAGACACTGAGTGGGCGTTAGAGCATGTCTGCGGTGTGCACCCAGTATACATACGGACCACCTGGGGCGTCAGCCTTCGGTGTCATGAATCCTCCGGGCGAACTCATCTCGTGAGCCTTGGTGGCCTTGCCTCCCGGTGTCTGGAAGTTGGCTTTGCGCTTTACTGTACTGCCATTGGCGCCGTTCGTTGTGCTTTGACGTGGGGTACCCGGCACGAGTCCTTCTAGTCTGCGTCCAGTCAATGACAATGTCCTAGATGTCTTTCCACTGTTTAAACATACATATCATACATGTCCCCACCCTTTGCTCGTGGTGTTGGCTGGCCCCGCTTGACTTCGTTTCTCTGCTGGGCCTTCCCTCTGCTCTCGCGCTCCAATGCATCTTGTATCGTCTTTTTGAAGTCTCGTGCCGTCTTGACGTCCATCTTGCTCTCTTCTCCGCCCATCTTCATGTTGTATGCCTGCCATTTGAAATCCAGCTCCTCGGGCGAGATGGAATACAGCCGTGACATTGACTGCAGTTCAGCGAGGACATCGGCGGGGAATTGGTCATCCTTGGTGTCGCAGTAGCGCTCGAAGCGCTCGGTGAGTTCGGTCGTAAGGTCGTCCATGTTGTGTGTGACTGTGAGTATTCTGGGTGATGGCCGGGAGAGCACTTTGCGCGTGCGAACTCCGAAGACGCGTCGCGCGTGTCGGTGGGGCTAGCATGGAGGCGGCCTAGGGCGATCGACGTGCATGCAGGGACCGCCATGTTTCCCAAAAAGTTGCCCAAGGCTGACACCATCGCCAACACGGCAATAAGGACCTCACCCAAGATACTTGAACAAGAACAGGAGACGAGATCAACTTGGGCAGATCAACTACATCCTGAACATAATGTCTGCAATTGGCCCCTTTGCGGAGCCTGCACCCGGCTGCAAGCCCGCCGCTGCCCCTGCCTTGACCGCCGAGCAGCAAACCAAATACGACGAGCTTCTCGCCGATGTCCGCACATGGGAAACACTGCCCACCACGTCTGCAAAGACTGCCGAAACCTCACCAATCAGCGACGATGAGCGCATGTGGCTCACTCGCGAATGCCTCCTCCGATACCTGCGTGCCACCAAGTGGAACCTTCCCCAAGCAATACAGCGCCTGCGCTCGACGCTGGTATGGCGTCGTGAGTACGGCACCGACCGCTTCACTGCCGAGTACATCTCAGAGGAGAACGAAACCGGCAAGCAGGTCTTGCTTGGTTTCGACAACGAGGGAAGGCCGTGTCTGTACCTGCTGCCGCAGAACCAGAACACGAAGGAGACACCCAAGCGGGTAGAGCACTTGGTCTACATGCTGGAGCGCACCATAGACTTGCACCCGCCTGGCCAGGAGAGTCTTGCACTGTTGATCGACTTCAGGAACACGGGAGCTGGTGGCACCCCTAGCATGGGCATCGCCAAACAGGTCCTTGACATCTTGCAGAACCACTACCCCGAGCGACTTGGTAGGGCATTGCTCACACACCGTAAGGACCACTTCAATGCCCCACGTATGCACTACTGACATCACGAATAGTCCCATGGTATGTCAATGCCTTCCTCAAGCTCATCAACCCCTTTATCGACCCCGTCACCAAGTCCAAGATCAAGTCGAACGAGCCTCTACCCAACCACGTGCCCACATCACAGCTCATGAAAGTCTCTGGCGGTGAAATCGACTTCAAGTACGACCATTCCGTCTACTGGCCTGCGCTTGAGAAGATCTCCACGGAGCGGAGACAACAGAGGAAAGAGCGATGGGAGAAGGCTGGTAAGATCATAGGAGAAAGCGAGATCTACCTATGGGGAGGAGACGAGCCTAGTATTGGAAGTGCGACGGCAGAGAAGACTGCGGGCGAGGCTGCAGTGCCTGCAGCAGCCGAGAATACCACCACCGCGTCCAACGAGGGGACAGAGCTTGTTGAGGGTGTTGAAAAGCTGGACATCAAGGAAGGCGAGCCAGTCAAGGCTGCTGCCTGAGCGGTTGTTGATCTTCCACTTCCACTTTCCCTATAAGCACTGTACATAATAGACCAATCGACCTCATCCGACAAGGCACCAGATGGCTGCCCGTATCGAGAGTATTCCCCTGCCAAGTGAAGCACATGCATCTGGGAATCCAACGCTTGACTGACAAAGGGGCGGCAACAAGTGCACGCAGACGTGACGGAGCGTTAAGGCGACACGTCGATGGCGTAGTGTCAGACGCACGTGCGCGCAACCTTGCACTAAAAGTGCTCGGACATACAACGCGTCTCCCATCACCGTCCCCGCCTCAACTGTACCGATCGCGCCGCGCACTTCCACCTCCACCTCGAGATTCATCAACGAGCCAATCGCGCGCAAAAATCATGAGCGCGACCGAATCACCCTCGGGGACTGATCAAGTCGCATCTTCGGCCGCGCGACGCAAATCCGGACGCGTATCCAAGCGACCAGCCAGATTCGCGCCAGGCGCAAGTCCAACCGGCAGCACGAAGCGCAAGCGCGGCGACGACAACGACAGCGGAGTCGACGCGACGGAGCCGCCGTCTGATGATGAGTCTGAGGAGAGCAGCGAAGACGAGCCAGATGAGGAGGAACTGAAAGAGCGCAGGCGCAGGAACAAGGCCAAGGCTTCTGCGCGCAAACCCGCATCCAAGAAGGCAAAGACAAACGGCGAGAGTGTCAGTCTCGCGATTCGGCCCGCCAGCAATGCGACCAAGAAGACGTCTAAGCGGCCGCGAAAGGCGCCTGTGCGCAAGAGCGCGCTGCCCGATGAGACCGAAGGACTATATGGTACGTGTGCGGGTACGTCGGGAACACACACAAACTAACATGCGGCAGCCGATGTGTTTGCCAGCGGAGACCGACTCGAGGATGTCGCTGCACGATGGGTCGCGCGCTTCAACGAGCATGAAGCAAAAGCTGTGGCTGAGATCGTCAACCTGGTGCTGCAAGCTTCAGGCTGCGATCTGCGGATAAATGAAGACGACATAGCAGATCCAGACAACGCGCCAAACCGCGTAGCCGAGATTCAAGAAGAATTCCAGCAGGTAGGCTGCGGTACTTCGCACACGACTCTTCACTTGTTAACACATCGCAGTACGAAGTCACAGAGTACCCGCTGATTGCCAAGGCCAAAGACGGCGGAGGCAATGCTTTCAGGAACGCGCTACAGGGCTTCTTCATCACTCTCATACAAACCGCTGCGCAGTCAGGCCTCCTGTATGAGAGCGCAGAGCTTATCGAGAACATCTCGGTGTGGCTGGGCGCCATGTCCTCGACCGGCAACCGTCCCTTCCGTCACACAAGCACGGTTGCTTCGTTAGCCATCACGACTGCACTAGCCCAAGTTGCCGCAGATCTCGTCGAGAACACAGCAAAGCGCGTTCGTCAAAGCGAAGCGGAAGCCAAGAAGTCTAGAGTCAACAAAGCACGTGTCTCCGCGGCGGACCACGAGATAGAAGAGTACAACCAGAAGCTAGAGTTTGTGGGAGGGCAGCTAGATGATTGGTTCGCCGCAGTCTATGTCCATCGTTATCGCGACGTGGATCCTAAGATTAGGGTAGACAGTGTGGTAGCGCTGGCAGACTGGATCATCGCATACCCCGACAAATTCTTCGATGGCACGAAACTTCGCTACCTGGGCTGGGTTCTCTCAGATCCAAATCCATCGACACGCATAGAGGTGCTCCACCAGCTCGCGCGACTCTTCAAAGATGAAAGTAAATTGGCGGGGCTGAAGACCTTCACGGAACGCTTTCGACCACGTATTGTTGAGATGGCCACGCACGACGCCGAGGTCAATGTGCGTGCTGCGGCCGTAGACTTGCTCGACATTCTTCGCGAGGCAGGCTTCCTAGAGCCTGATGACATCGATTCCGTCGGTAAACTCATCTTCGACTCCGATGCAAAGGTCCGCAAGGCTGTGGTAGGCTTCTTCGCTGAGAACGTCAACGCCGCATATGAGGCCACCGTAGAAGACATGGGAGGCGAAGAAGCTCTCAATGAAGCCTTGGCGCCAGCCGACGAAGAGGAGGAAGAATACCACAACCCCCGGCTGGAATGGCTGAAATTGAAATGCCTCGTCGATCAGCTGCTCTCATACGATGAAGACGAGGTTGAGCTCCCTTCACAGATCCAACGCATGTCTCCTGGCACAGAATTGGAGCTGATTGCCAAAGGAATTGAGACTCGCTGCTCGCTCGCGGCTCAAGCGCTGTACGACGTTGTTCCCGAAATTCGATCATGGGAGGTTGTAGCTGGCTATCTCCTCTACGACCATTCTCAGACTGCGCAGGACGAGAACGAGGATCCCGAAATCATGCTTCGCCAAACATGTCGGCTCGAAGAGAAGCACGAGACTGTTCTCCTGGACATTCTGAGTGCTGTGGTCCGTATTCGGCTACAGCGCTTCGCAGACATGCAGAAAGATAAGAAGAAGACCAAGACGCAGCGCGAGAGCGACAAGGAAGAGCAGTCAGACATGGCTCGGCGGCTTTCCTTGCTCATTCCTCAGCTTCTGAAGAAGTTCGGCGCCTTACCCGAAACTGCAGCATTGTGTCTTCAATTGGAGCGTGAGCTCAACCTCGATGTATTTGAGGAGTTACGGCAGAATGCTGCTCTTGCAACCCTGCTTGACGACATCAACAAACAGTTCCTCACCCATCACAACGAGCGCGTCCTTGGAGAAGCTATCAAGTCTATACTCCACGCCCAAGAGAGCGAGGAGTTACGAGAAACCGTGGATCTCAAGGTGCAAGCGCTTTGGGATGACCTGATCAACACGTTCGACGCGCTCCGACGAGACAAGGATTTCTCCGTGCGAGGTAATCTTGATGAGAATGTTCTTCGTGGGGTATCCAATGTCGTACTGAAGATGTCGCAACTAGCAGTTGTCTCGAACGCTATTTTGCTTGAACAGATTGTTACTCCTGCAAAGTCGAAAGGCAAGGGGAAGAAAGCCGCCCTGAACACGCCACCCGTCGACTCAGTACTGCAGATAATCGAGCGCGGAGTAGTGGTCGATGAGGCAGACGCAGAAGTTGAGGAGGCAGACGACACTCTTGTCAGCCATGCAATCTACTTAATGTTCGGATACTTCATGTGGAAGTGCAAGGCTTGCACTATTCATGTTGAAGAAGGTACCAGCATGCCTGAAGACGAACTCATGGCCTTGGTCGAGCGAAGAGATAACTGCGTCACATTACTGATGAAAATCATGGAGGGTCGAAAAGGCACATCAGAAGTACGACTAAACGCGACGAACCTTTTCCTAGACATACACACCATGTTTTGCAACCTCAGGGTCAAGAAGGAGAGGATGGTGAAGACGCCCAAGAAGACGCAGGGTCGCGGCTCAAATGCAGCCAACGACGACTGGGAAGCTCTCTGTCGCGACATCGATGGCAACACTACGAAACTCATCCTCCAGATCCTTACGACTTGGGAGAACTATCTGGCCAAGCTCACTCACAAGCGCCTAGAAGAGCCAGACATTGATGATGAACCTATCGATCCGGACGACGAGCCTGAAAGTGACGAAGAAGATGCTGCGGACGAGCATGGTGTATCCGAAAAGCAAGTGCGCGCCCTTCTAGTAGACGATCAGTTCTGCCGGTTCGGCGCCCGCATTGTACAGGCAATACATGCCGGAGCCCTCGACAGCGATGGTTCAGACGCAGTGCGCAAGCGTCTCGAGCGTAACAGATCGAAGCTCACGCCAACCTGGAGAGAGGTTGTGAACCATCTCGATGCCTCCAAACTGCGCAAAGTCACTAAGAAGATATCAAAGCCGGCTAAGCCGAATGCCACATCGGCTAAGAGCGCAGAAGTAGTTGAGCTAGATAGCGACGATGAAGAAGAGCAGGAGCACGAACAGGAGGTTCCTGGTGACGGGATTGAGGATGAAGAGATGGCTGATGGCGATGCCGAGCAGACTAATGGTGTGGAGCCAATTGCGAATGGTGAAGAAGATGCCGAAGTTAATGGTGACGAGGAGAGCATTCTCGGCGATTGAGTATGAATGTGGTTTTAGAATTGTTTACTTCGTCTCTTCGAGTTCGTTTTATACGCACATTTACGGCAAAGGACGTCCAGAGGCATGTCCTCTGAAGTTTCTCATCGATTTGTCGCTGTACATCACGGCTGCAGCATGGCGCTCCGGCGTTACCATGATACCTAGGTAGGCCGTCCGGCCAATGCTACAATGGTTTTGGCGCTTCCCGTGTACGTAGTTCCAAAAGACGATTTCTTTTCGCTTTGCCACGATGTAATGATTCAGAACAATGATCTTCAGTTTGCAAACATGTGATGGCACGATAGCTATTGAGTGACTGGCTGGCTGGCTGAACTTTTGACGAGCGCTGCTTCATGGCCCAGTGGCCACTGCGAACTTGCGAGTTCTAGGAATGCATGTCAGTGCTTCCAGCCCCAGGCCACGTGAATGGCGCGCATAACCTTAGCTTCCAAGGTTAAGCGACTCCGGAAGTCTGGAACCTCACCACCTCCCGTCCACGATCACCTCTGGTCCGGTGAGCCCGCAGAATGCGATGTCGCCTCCACGAAACCCTACTGATCCGAATGCGCATTTGACATTTCTGATGAGCATCCGTAATGGGGGCAGCGCCAATACGAGCACTCCGCACTTGCCTCCGCACATGCAATGCCAAGGCAGACGTCGTCGAGGAAGACCCAGCTGAGTAGCTCTGGATCAGCCACGCTTTCACTTCATCGCTTCTCTCTTCCCGTTTCGGCTGTCGCAAGTCGGAGTTTTCGCATTTCTTTTCTCGCATCTTGTCAGATCTGCAGGCCGCGAGGCTTAACAGACACCAAAATAGTCCATGATGCAGATCACACACTGCAAGCCTCATTCTTGGCACGACAAGCTCGTAGCTGAAGACTTTGCCAGCGCATGCAGTCAGCAGCTTCTTGACTTTGTGTTCATGTTACTTTGAGCGCCTTGCTCATGCTCCGCATCACCTCTGAAGTCTTCGCGCGTGCAACTAATCTTACGAAACCTGGGAAGTTCCAAATCACTCCTTCTGCAGCCGTGGTACAAAAAAGCACGACCATCGTCAAGAGATGCGGCAATTTGTCGGCAGCGGAGACTCCAGCTCAGGTCGCTAAACTCCGATCCAAGCCATCGGCGACCCAGATCTTGGTAGTCGTACATCTGGATACGAGAAGCTTTGTCTTGGCAGTTGTCAGCCGCTTCCGCACCCCAGGTTTCCCCATATGGGTACGATGGCCCACGCAGGGCTGAGAAGGTCGAGATCAGTCTCTGGTATTCTTGCGGCTACTAAACTAGCGAAAGATCATGGGGAAGCCTATCATATCTCTGAGAAAGAGAAAAGATCCTTGTTCTTCTAGAAGAGGAAGTCCAAGCAGTATCCCGGCACCTTGAACTACACCGCAATAACCATCCTGTGGCAGCCCGCCCCATGTTCCTACACTCTTACCGAACGTCTTGGAAATATCGACGGCGTCCGCCATCGATGTGTTACTGGTCACAAAGGCAGCTGTGATCTGGCTGAAGCGTTAGGTAGGCTTCGAGACCAGTACTCGCTTGATTATCTCCATGATACTGAGGCTAACAAGCCCTGAGTGTTCGTCTTAGTGCACTAGTACTATGTCGTCCTGTCCGACTTCGAGAATTAAGACTACCTTGCAACTTGGTGCGAGACGGTAGCCTCCACGACACATATATAACCAGCTCATCTCTCCACCTTGATAGTATTCAAACCAGATCAAACCACAATCCATCCAATTGGACAATCAAAGATGTCTCGCGTATCAAGGATCGCCTCTTTACTTGCGCTGGCCTCAACTGGCCTAGCTCAACTTCCGAACATCCAGCCGTTCACCGTTACTGGATCTCTGGACGGGTACGTCTGTCACGTTCGGATATGACTTCGATGCTAATATCATGCAGTTGCAATGCTAAGAGCACAGAATACAATTCCGGTGGCTCAATCTCAGTTAACAACTGGAATATCGAAGTGCCACAGAATCTCATCGTTCAGTTCCCCGTAGTGTGGGCACCGTTCCGAGAACTCTGCGATGCTGGAGCCCTTGGCTTCGAGACTACCGTCGTTGGTAACATTGTGAACGGCAAAGTCATTGCTGGACAAGTTTCGGTCGCCCAACGCTTTGGACTCGAAGGCAGCCAAGGATATATTTCGGCAATCAACGAAGACGGTACGCTCCAGATCGCCAGTGGTCCAACTGTCCGAATCAACGACCCTGATGGCCTATTCGGACCCCAATACGACTCTCAGAAATACTGGATTGCCGACACAGCTAGTCCGTCAGTAACATCGTTCTCGGGATTTCCTATGTGTATCCCATACTCTGGAAACACCGCCAAGTGCTCAAGCTCAAACCGGCCCAACAGTCAGTCGTTCACGCCCCAAGATCCACTCAGCATGGTCCCATTCAGGGTCGGCGACTTCATTGAGTACTCTGGTCTCAAGGTTGGTGGCAATGAAATCCTCGCTTCGTCGATCGTGTGCATCAGCTTGCACATTACGACACAAGCTAGCGAGAGTGTACCCAACTACATTCGCGTTGAGGACTTCCTCATTGGCGTTCCTGACAACTCACCGAATGTGGAGTTTGCCGATATCCGCGTGATCGGTTTCCTGTCCAGCTGCTCCGGCGCTACAGTCTTCATCAGTGCTATCGACGTCGACCCTTGCACGGGCAAGGAGACATATCGCAGCATAGGTACAGCCACTCCGAAGCAAGAGACTCGTTGCAAATGGGAGGCTCGCATTGCTTCGCCAGCTCAAGCCCCCTTCACCCGCGAGTACCGTATTACGACCAACACACCAGTAAAGGAGACCAAGGACGGTATCAAGGCTGGTCAGTTTATTGCAGCTGTTAGCGAATGGATCTTCCCTGAGGTTGATGTGCCCGGAACCAACCCACCAGCTTATCCTTTCAACGATATTCGGGGATTGGTTCAGGGTGACTTCCTTGATGGTAAACAGTACGGACCTCTGTCACCGTTCCCAGGTCCCAGCCCGCCATCGCCATCCAAGACCTGCAGTCCCGCAGACATCCCAGACCCTAACGCAACCCCGACTCCTTCGGCTACCCCTTCGCCCACCCCCAACCCAGATGAGCCAGCTACACCACAGACTGCCCCAATTGCTTCTGTCGCAAGTTTCGCATCTGCTCTGCGCGTCGGCACCAGTGTAACACTCTTGGGCTCCAACACCGCTGAGGGTCTCAAAGACACTGATCTGAACTTCAGCTGGACGAAGACCGCGCCTTCCTCGGCGACCGTTAGCATCACCAACGCGAACAGCCCCAGCGCCACATTCCTCGCACCCAAAGTAACAACCCAGACATCCTTCACATTCGAACTCACCGTCACCTCCAAAACCGACGCCACAAAGACCAGCAAGGCAACCGTCACTGTCAAGATCAACCCCACTTTGGCTGACACCGTCACCCTGGACACGTACACCTGGGAGTCGAAGCAATCCGGCAGCATCACTGCGACATGCACTTCGAATGTGAAGAACGGAGACAACAAGGTCATGACGCTGCTTCTGAACGGCACCATAAAGCGGACCATGGTAGCAGTGAGTGGAAGTCCAGGAAAATGGACATACAGCGCGAGGGATACCGCGAGGCCGAACAACTTGAAGTGTGTGAGTGATTTGAAGGGGGAGAGTGCGGTGAGGCAGGGTACTGCGACGACGAGAAGGAGGAGGGCTGTTGTATGGTAGAGGACGATTTGATGTATGTAATGATTTATGAGTGTTTAATGAGTGGTTAATGAGTACGCGGACATTTGTTCTCTGCGCACTTGCATAGCTGACTGTGAAGGCTGGATCGCTGTTCAGCTTTCAATAGCGGGCTGAGGCTGATTGTTCCCCTCTTATATTCCTTGCCAATCACGTCTTGCTGTTTCCGCCACCAAAGCTGAAGCCCAGACCCTTCTATGGATTCTGTACTCGGCATGCTTAAGAGGTCAGCACGCCCCACTGGTGGTTCCGCAATGTTGTACTTCGCTCCTCTGCTTCGTATCTTAATCTTCTTAGCCATGGACTGCAAAAGTGAGAACATCGGGAATTCCATCCCTGATATCGCTGGTGTTGGGGTGAGTTCAACTTTGATGCACATAAATCTTATCTATGCTTACTCTTTCCAAGATCATTCTAGCCTTTGCCATTCTGGCAGGTCTGTCTTTGGTAATTGCAGGCATTGGCTACTGCGCAATTTTGCATGCAAGATGCAAGCGTTTTGACGCCTTGGGCAATCTGATAGATGAGAACAGTCCGGAAATGAAACGAACTCAGTTCTTCCGTTCACAGAGACTCGAACTTACGGAAAAGGTTCTTCGATCAATCAGCGAAGTCCAGATTTTCAACGGTAATACATTTCCGTCGCTGCTGATGCATTTACGCAGTTGCTAATCTAACTAGGCATCGCACTCCTCATCGCTGCCATAGTTCAACGAAACAGCCTGAGCCTATATCATCTACATGTGGTTTATGACACTGTTAACTTTACCGCGTAAGCAGCCAGTGCAATATGTTAGGCCATTCTGGCTAAACATTGGCAGCGTCTCATTCACAGCCTCGATTTTTGTTGTCTGGCTTTCTCGAAAGATACGAAAACGGAATGGCGAAGATCTGCATCCGAACGATACCCGGCGAGAACCTATACAGGTACGACGATTACCATGGATGAAGTTTCTTTTATCCACCTCGCTGTGGATAACGGTATTTTGTGTACTCTACCTGGCTTATGCAGTGCATTTCGGTATAGCCTTAGGGAAGTGGAACGTCGATAAATTTGGCTATTGCTACCGCGATCAGGGTATCACAAGTCCAGACCAACAGCACCCTCAGGCCGACCATATATACCTTAGTATCACCTGCTTGTACATGCTCGGCTTACTGTATGGAAGCTTCATCGAATCGGAAAAACCCCCGGTGTTGGTCGGTATGTTCTTGCCTATCTCCATTCGACAGATATACAGCACATACGACGGCGCCATGGCTTCGTGCGAGAAGAAGGTCAATAGTGCGATCGGAGCCCTTCTCACCAAGTGCATCAGCTTCTTTCCAACTCCGATAAGAGCCAAGATCACGGATCTATCATCAAGACTACCCCTGCCCCCAATCTTCAATCTCCGAAACCCATCGACGGAACTAGGACTGGTGATTGTTCCCGTCGCCCAATTTTTGCTTCATTTGTATATGGTATGGACCATCCGGTCCGCAAATCGCATGCATCTCCAGGGCGAATCCGAAGACACGTGGGGATTTGGCCAGGTCGTAGCGCTCATCCAAATCCTCCCAATACTGAAGGGCTGTGCGAAGGACTGCATGGGTAAGACTGCCCCGAGGAGCTTGTACATTTTCTGACACAGATAGAGTATCGGAAAGAAACAGCGAAATGGCTGAATGAGAACCCTGAACACGGACGTACCCAGATGGCGGCAATAGGTACGAGTCCTTGACATGGGAAGATTCGGCTCATGGAAAAGTTGCTATAGGAGGAAGTGACCTTGAGAGCAGTGGATAATAATGCCGAGCCCCAAGTGGAAGTTATGCTAGAGAACTACTCTCATGTCGCGAACGGAGACAATGCCGAAATGATATATAGAGGAGATTAAGGGGTGAATGGAAACTTCGATAGCGCACATCTAGTCTTCATTGTGAACCGTGAAAGTGTTGCTATCTTCAACGCTTTACGCTGAAATACCTTTTCTGGCGACGCTGTTTATAGCAATGTGGAAATTTGGTGCTCTAGAGGAGTCATAGCTGTTGGCACCGCCCCTCATAGTCATCCAGAAAATCGTGACTGCAATCAACGCTTCCCAACATCTTGCCTGACCTGGCGATGCGACCCACGGGTAACGGGCGGGAAGAACGCGCCTCGAAACGACCTCAACCTTGGATCGCATACAGCTTTCGACAGAGTGCGAAAGAATTGCCTTTTGCGGGTATCTCAGGGGCTGGCGCGACGATCCAGGGAATTATTACAGGAGCTTGTCTGGTGTGGATGTCTAGCGTGAACAACAAGACATGTCAACATCTCACGCCGTCTACTCACTCATCCACGATATGGCGACTGCAATCAATGGATACTGTGGAATCTGCTCGTTACGGTAGTATCGTGAAGTACGGTTCCATGGGAGGCAGGTCGGCGACATAAATGCGAGATGCGTCATGCCGCTGTCGTACCGTGGAATTGTTGACATCGAGGCTGCAATGGCTCGTCTCTACACCCAGGTTTCGCAGCAGTAATCAATGTTCTCTCCAAGACTTGCTCTATGAGGCGTGGTCGTGCATGCGCGACCGAAAACTCTTTAAATTGAGTCAGGCGTTAACGGGCAAAGTATGTCTTTGTATCGTGGTGCCGCGGACGGTAGAGGACGATGGATGGCTTCGGTCCTTTTAGCGACCGCGAAAAGTCCGCCGCAATCCATAGTTTTTCATCTAAACTGCCTTGTCAGGAAGTCGCCACGACAAATGGTGTGTAGTACAGAGCGGGTATAGGAGTAGGTGGAGCTGCCCAGGTGTCGAAGGATGCGGATTGCCACTGTGGCGGCCGTCATGCGTGGCTCAGAAGGCACCGGAACGCCAAACCGTCCTCTGTAATTTCCATGGATTTCTGCTATGATCGACGGATATTCTCAGAACCTGCTCAATTGGGAGACATGAAGCGGAATCTTTCTGATATACGGTACATCAGCTTAGTGAGTCGGTGGCCTTACGACACCAACGCTTGTGAGGTCGGACGAGAGAAGGGCTTGTCGCGTGGAGAATGGACCACGGATGCATTGCCGTGCGGTGAAAACGTTCCCGCACAAAAACAAACCATACATCCAGTCGAGATGTACGTCAACACCGGCTGTCTTGACCTCTGCGTGGTGTGGTTTTGAGTTTGGCGTATTCAGGTACGATGCCTTCCAGCTCTTCCGGGTGGACTGAGGACGCTGACGATAGCGTGTAGGTAACGGGGCTAGGGGGATCCGCCGGCACCACGCCCTGTGGGACTGTGACGGCGAAGGGATCCAGTGTGGGCCTCCGATGTGATCGTGATAACAGTGCGATCGCGTCTGTGAAAGCGATTAAGAATGTTTTGATGTGGGCCTATTTCGGAAATGCTTGCGGGTGCGGGATCGGCCATGTCGAGTTCGCAAGACAAGACGAAAAGCGACAACGAGCGTACTGCGTATTCGGACCGGAGTGAGGCAGGCCCGAGAATAGACAGGCAGCAGGCTTTCCAAGGTTCTCTCGTGGCAAGTGTGGCGTTTCGAGAGCATGACCAGAACTGAGCCACAGAAACGTGGTCAAGAGAAGCACAGTGCGAGCAGCGCCTGCGGGCCTTTGGGCGTCCTGAAACGAAGCCTCTCTTCTCCCACACCTCCCTAATGAGCACCATGACCCAATGAGTCTCTTCTCGTCCTTTATTATCGAGCCTGTTGTGCGCCATGTACGCCGCTTCTCAGGCGTTGGCGAGGCGAGCCATGACGGAGCTCGGTCTCTAGCATGTGACAATCACGACTCTGCGTCTGCAGCAGTGCCACGGCGGGAGCACGAAACGGACGCGGGCTCCGTGAGCGCACGTGAAAGAAACAGCACCGAAGCACCTCACGGCCGACCCACAGCGCTGGGGGACCGATTCCGACGTTACTCGTCTTTCTCGCAGCGGCCTCGCAGCGCTGTTGTTGACGAGGAGCAGAGCCATGACGATCTGCCAATAGACACCCCAGTCGACATGTCCGCGAATCCATCCCGCTCCCTCGCTGATCAGTTCCGTCACCTCGAGGTCGACTCGTCACGCTCGACTGCGCCGTCGCCCTCGTCGCTCCGTCCCGTCAGCACCCCCAGCCAGCATGCCAGCGCCATGGCAGAGCTGCTCCCCGCTGACGATGGCATGGCCCATCTCCGCGAGCGCATCCACGAGATCCGCGCCCTGAACATATCCGACCAGGAACGCGCCCGCATGATCCACAATCTCATGACGGAGAAGTACAACCACATGCGCCCGACGTCCCCCGCGAGCTTCATATCACACGACCGCCCCTTCACCCCTACCTCCGGCCAGTCCCTCTTCTCCGATGTCCATGCGTCATCGCCCTACTCGTCCACGACGGACGTGACCCCCGAGATCTCGTACAATCTTCGCGAGGGCGACACGAACCCCACGTATCGGCCACATCACAACCACGGCGCAGAGCACGGCGAAGACGAGGAGGAGGACAGCGCGGAAGGGGAGCTTGTTCTCGGCTGCCAGCATTACAAACGCAACGTCAAAGTACAATGCTTCGAATGCCGCCGTTGGTACACGTGCCGACACTGCCACGATGCGGTCGAGGACCATAACCTGAATAGGAAGCTGACACAGAACATGCTGTGTATGGCATGCGGTACGCCCCAGCCTGCAGCCGAGGTGTGCAAGAACTGTGAGACTGAAGCTGCATGCTATTATTGTGACATTTGTAAGCTTTGGGACAACAACAGCAAGAAGAAGATTTACCACTGCCCAGATTGTGGTATCTGCCGGCGAGGAGAGGGTCTGGGCAAAGACTTCTATCACTGCAAGGTATGATCCTACTTGAGACAGAATTTGGCTTAGACTGACGGTGTGCAGAGTTGCAATGTCTGCATATCCATCTCTCACGCGACCTCGCACAAATGCCTCCCGCGTGCTACCGAGGGCGACTGTCCTATCTGCGGCGACCATCTCTTCACTTCGTCTACTGCTGTGGTGTCAATGCCTTGCGGACACTACCTCCACAAAGGCTGCTACAACCTCTACATGCAGACTGCGTATAAATGCCCAATTTGCAAAAAGAGTGCTGTGTGTATGGATCTGCAGTGGCAGAAGTTGACTCAAGCAATCGAGGGTCAACCCATGCCAGAGCAGTTCGCAAACACACGGGCAGTCGTCCAGTGTAACGACTGTTCAGCAAAATCTTCTGTCAAATATCACTGGCTTGGAAACCAATGTGGTACATGCGATTCGTACAACACCAACGAGCTTCGCATTCTGAACGGGCCAGAGAGTGAAGAGGCTGCCAATGCGATACTAGACGCCGACCTCGATTCAGGCTCGAGATCGCCTGTGAGCGTCAGCTCGCCCTCCTCCCAAGCACCACTTCGTTCGCCTCGGTACTATTTTCAACCAGATGAGCCTGAAGAGACATGGCTACCAGGTCAGCTGCCCTCTTTCCCTTTCCAGATGCCGCAGTTTCCTGGCAGACCGCGCATGCCGCAGATGCCTCAGATGCCACAATTTCCATCTTTGCCGCAGTTTCCACCGCTGCCAAACTTCCCACAGATACCGCAATTTCCACAGATGCCACAGATGCCTCAAATGCCTGATGCTGCACAGCAAATGCTTGAACGCGTGCGACAGTCCTTCGATGCGTATCTCAACCCGACGGGAGATATTCGAGCTGAGGATGTGCCCTTCATCGATCTCAGCAACGACGACCGCGCCGAACGTCCCGCGACAGATGGTACCACGGTTAAGGAACCGTCACTCCCACAGTACGTTCTAGAGCGGTTCACGCAGTCGCTCGTGCGCTTTAGGAACGATCTGAACCCAGCTTTGTTCGAAGACATCCCGACATTGGATCTTTCGCAAGATCGTGATCCCGAAGGATTGCAGTTCTGGGGTGAAGATGGTGGGCGGCTGAATCGCTTCGTTGCGGGCGATGAAGACGACGAGGACGACGAAGATGAGGAGAGTAGCAGCGATGAAAGCGAACACCATGAAGATGAAGATGATGACGAGGATGATCTAGATGTTACCAAAAAGCGTGGTAAGGAATTCGACCTGCCAGGTCATGTGTAAGGAGTTTGCGGAGCGGGCGTTCTGGGAAGGCAAAAGGATGTTCTACGAATATTGCTTTGGTGCGGGCCTGGATAACAACCTAAAAATTCACGAAAAGCCATTTTATAAAGCAACAGATACCCAAATAGAAACACTTTGTTATTGAGCCAAACGCATCATGGTGTTCCAGTTACTCCAGGGCTTGCACCAGCCTGGTCTCACGTGCGCGATGGTCCGTGCTCGACGCGCTAAGTAAGCGGGCACACCGGTGGCATCCGATTTTCGAATATCGTGACTTTTCGACCTCCAAGCCTCAAACTCGCATCCACATCGTCGACTAACCCCCGCAGCGAGAACCTCTGTCAGTATGTATTGCGCTCCCAGTCTGTGTTCAGATCAGTCGATTTGCGCAATAGTCGCGAATCGCAATCCCAGCTGATCGCTGTAATGAGCATTTGCTAACACATTTTCCCTTCAGAAATGGCCCCAACCACCAAGTCCGCCGGCAAGAAGTCTGCCGGAAAGACCGGCCGCAGCGCCATCGCCGACGTCGTCGCCCGCGAATACACCATCCACCTCCACAAGCGCGTATGTTGATTCAGTTTTGTGAAGTCCACAGATGGTCTCGCGGAACCTTGGGTGGGTGCTCAACCAGGCCGATCACACTGGCTTGAGCACCCACTTTTGGTCACGCAGGCATCGGGCGGAAGACTGAAGAGAACATAAGGCTAATACATTGGGTATAGGTCCATGGCGTCAGCTTCAAGAAGAGGGCCCCCAAGGCTGTCAAGGAGATCCGCGCTTTCGCTAAGCAGGCTATGGTATGTGCTATGGAAGAACCAACGGCCCATGGCACGCGCGCTACGTGCGAGTGCTGCCATGGTGTCGTCATTCGTACAAACTCAGGCTAATTGTCTCGATGTAGGGCACCAACGACGTCCGCCTAGACCCCCAGCTCAACAAGAAGGTCTGGGAGTCCGGTATCAAGGGCGTTCCTTTCCGCCTCCGTGTCCGCATCTCCCGTAAGCGTAACGACGAGGAGGGCGCCAAGGAGAAGCTCTACTCCTACGTCCAGGCCGTCAACGTCAAGGACCCCAAGGGTCTCCACACCCAGATTGTTGAGGATGCTTAGAGGAATCCCGCGAACAAGGGGGAAGGATGATGTGCATATCAAAAGCATGGCGTTCCGGCGGGCTGTGCTGAGTAGCTACTATGGATATCTAGAGCGAAAAGCTGGTGAAATGATACCTCAATGACAGATCATGCCCCGCCACGTTTGATGGACTTGGAGACTTGAACCACTCTAATTTCCGGCTGCTAAAATGAGTGATGCATTGATGAAGACTTGTTTGCAATGGTCAAAGACTTCACCAAGACTGACGGTATCGCAGATACTACCTAGGTGCTGCCAGCTTCGCTCATTACTGTGCACATCATTTATGCTAAATACTACAATAGCGAGCTATCAAGTCATGTTCGGCTTTCGCGCTTTTCTAGGAGTACCTTGCATAAGCGGCTCTACGTAGCTCGGCCCTGGGGGGAGCCGAACATTAGGTGCTTACCAAAGCCTTGGATACTGCTCGGCATGTTAGTTGCTCCAATAATTCCCTAGCAGAGAATACAGATAAAGCATATAGAGCGACTTCGAACGTGTAATTTGTATATTTCCGGCCTTCATCAATCATCTCCAGTTGACGTCAGACACTCGCCTTGCCCCCCGCCTGTGACACGCGAACCACCAACTTCCACAACCCAACTATCGCACCACATAACCATATCCCATCCTGAAGAAAAAACGCAAACATGGTGAACTTCAACATAGCTTACACCTCCCGCATCAATCCTACCGACGCAACCCCGGTCCTCAACCAAGCACAGATCTGGGCTGGCCTACAGCGCAAGATACGCTTTGCCCAAGAATTCGTCCCTGTAATTGAGAGCTGCGACGTACTCGAAGAAAAGGATGGCGTGGTAACCCGGGATGTCAAGTTCAAGAAAGGAATGGGGCCCAAGGACCAGGCCAAGGAAGTTGTCAGGAGCTACTGGCCAAGTTGGGTAAGTAGAAATAGTTCGCAAAGTCGACGTTTTGGCTGATGATGTTTCAAGGTCGATTTTGAGCAGGAGGATGGAACGCATATCCGCAATATTGTCTCCGATGGCCCGTCTGGCGAGATCGAGGACTTGAACATGACGTACATGTTTGAGTTTGTTGTGCCGCATGTGCAGGAGGGGACTCCGGAGGCGGAGAAGGAGATTCAAAAGTTTAAGGGTGTAAGTGCCTATCATTCTGTTGAGACTGCGCATATGAGATGTGCATGTGTCAGATCAGTTGCTAACCAGGTGACAGATGGCAAAGAAAGCGGTCGAGAGCAGTATTGATGCTATCCGGGAGATGGTAAAGGATGGGAGGATCAAGGAGTAAAGCGGCTTGTGAGCTGATGCAGAGGCTGTATCTACACCTGGGCAATCAGATGATTCCGCATACTCAGGATCATCTTTGACTACCGCTAGCTAGCAAACGATAGTGCTGTGCAAAAGCGATGTCCGCTGCATCGTGCGATCCCCATATATGCGACGCAATAACGAATCTCTCAGTCCAACCGTTCTGCTTTAGAGACATGATGACCATTCCTCTGTTGCTCTCAGTGCGAAAATACTGAGCCAATTGCACAATACCTGGCATCATACGTTTTTCGACAAACTCATCTAACAGGCCCTCCTGCTCACATAGCGCCATCGTTAGCACAGTGTATATGAACCTGGAAGACAACGGGATACTGTATGTTTTCGCTGCCTTTCTCAACCCGGCATCGGCGATGATCGGTCTGGTACTAGAGCCACGAAATGATTCATCCATATCGCGACCAGAATTGAGGTGATCGAGACCTCTCATAAGGATACGTCGCTTTTCGCTGAGAATGTGAAAGTCTGAAGTTCTGTCACACGCTCGGCAGGTACACTCGAAGCGTAGTATGCGGTGACGGTCGTCCCTGGTTCTGTAGTCAAAGTCTGATTCGTAACCAAAGAGTATCTCGGCGCCGGCTTCGATGTCACGGATGGCGTAGCTGGTTATGCAATCGCCAGCTTGAGCGTCATCCGGAATCTTGCAGTTGGGAAGGCAAGAATGGTTGAATCGGGAATGCAGTAAAAAGAAGCCATGCGCCTTGCCAGGCTGTGCGGGGATAGTGATCGAATTTTCTGCAAAAGCTCTCTCCTTGGTTGGAAACATGCCTTCGCTATTGTCTCGAACACTGAGGAACTGGGCTTTCTCTTTCTTGGATAGTGCGGAGTAGGCGGCAAGCACATCTCTTTCCTCGATCATCCAATGGGGCTTCCGGATGACGAAAAGTGGCTTTTCTTGTAGGATCTTTTGTCCTTTGAGGATCTTTCGCGTGGCAAATGCACCCCATCCTTTTCCAGGTGAGACGCCGAGCCTGAAAGGAGCATCACTGGGAATTTGGATGCTGTGGTAGGCTGCCCAGGTGATGCTGAGGTTAGGTCATGCTCAGCGATGCGATATTCGGTTTGACTTACGATGGCCAGCGTTATTCGGGTGTGAATTCATGGCTGTCGATCCTTTCTTAGCTCTGCACTGCCGACAACATGTGAATTAAAGTTGGAAGTAGTAGCCGGATAAGACCCATCAATGATGTGCTGTGCCACAAGCGAATCTGCTGCGCAACGATTGGCACCCACCAAACGTTGAGCACTCACAAAGCGATTGCTTGTCACAGAAGGTACGAGTGCTGTTCTGAAAATGTTCAGATTGCCGTAGTGGATGATGCGAGTCGTTTATGATGTTTTATAAGTTGTGAGGGCCCAGATACTGATATGAGTGTATCTATCTGAGTACGGCTCGAATGTGCGATGTTTTGGCGCGCGCGACACGCCTGGCGCTTACACGCAGTTGGGAAGTTGACTTTGGCTTTGCAAAACAACCACGTAGTTGTATGGAAGCCGTACGTGGCTTTGTAACGAACGGGCGGCAAGGCACACATTATGCAAGGAGCCCCTCGATAGATCACCCCACTGTTTCTGGCCCCTTGATGATGCATTCAGATGTGTTTTGTGCAGGCCTCCAACATCTTGCGTCGACGTAAGATTCAACACCGCGAAGGTGAGAAGATGTGCCTCATTACTGCTTCTACGTGTCCTTGATTCTTTGTATGTTATAGCAGTGTTAGTGAGTGCTTTGCACATATCGCACGACCGACGTGTCGGAACGCCATGGCTGCGAATTTGTATGCAGGAATACCATAAAGATATGGATACGAAAAGCGATGATTGATGTAATGATTTCAAGGGGAATTTTTCCTTCTCTGAGCCGTGTACAGAGAGGTAGCTTGAAAGTGATCATTTGTCGCTCTCCTCCGAAAGTCTGGGACGATCAAATATGTTCGACCTATAGTGCAGTAATCGTTTGTGATGAAAGCTTGAGGTGGAATTTTTGCATCTGGCGCAAATGCAAGCCATCAGATGTCTCGCATACATCAGACGGGCTGCCTTAAGGCGTCCAGCTGTAACCAAGCTGTCCATTAGTCTGATTAAGACCACCATCGGCCACTTGGTCGCTCGATCGGATCATGATAGACGTATGTCTTGACGATAATGAGAACACCAAGCTGTGTGAAGCCGTATACCATCTCTAGACACTGCTTAGTTCGGGTGTAAATGGTGCCGTGATCGCAGAGTGGGCAGTCTTGGTCGCCATGGTGAGATTCTCAGTGAGCCGCATTGTTAAATATAGTAATTGGATCAGGATAAATGCATTAAGGTAACTGCATGCATCAACAACCCCACGGAGGTAGTGATGTGAGGAGGAAGGATGCAGGGTATCAGTCGATCGCAGGTGGAGCCCTTAGCACTAGTGCTTGTCTCTCGGCACGGGTAGTTCCAGTTGACAAACGCGACTTCACCGCGAAACCCGTGCCTCTGCAACAACGTCAGCGCCTCACACCCCCACCACTGCGAGCAGCCAGGAAGACGGTTCCGATTCAGTTCTAGCAACGCCGACTACTAGTAGCCTCAGTAGCAGCTCGGCAAGCGTGCCCGCACAATCTCTCCGCCGCCCAAGTGCCCCACCTTTGTCTGTACACAACTTCTGCAAGGCAGCGAACCTTTGCGCGCCCGCCCTCCGCCCACGCCCCACGCGCCCATACGCAACCGCTGCAAGAAGCTGAGCCGACGCTTGAGCTTCTTGGGGATATAGACGATATCAAGAGGCTGATTGGGAGCTTTTCCCGCCGCGCTGCAGCCCGCCATGTCTCTGTCAATTGAAGAGCTCGACGCCACAGTGCGCGCCTTCTACGAGGGCCGCGGTGAGCAAGTATGTATCTATGCGACCCCGACCAAGGCGTCTCATGAGAACACGGCTAACATGTCGCCCACTGTAGCAAAAGCAAGCTCAGGCCACGCTGAACCAGGTAGGCGACTTCACTTACTATCGCTACAGGCTTGTCCCGCTAACCCTCGCATAGTTCAAAGAGAACCCAGACGCATGGCTTCTTGTTGACAAGATCCTATCCGATGCGCAGTACCCGCAGACGAAGTGTGAGTGCAGCGACGTGCTACAAGGCTGGTGGTCCTCGTTGCTAATAGTCGGCAGACCTCGGACTCCAAGTTCTCGATAATGTCATCATGACTAGATGGAAGGTGCTGCCTCGAGACCAGTGTCAGGGTATGCTACAGAACACTCCGTCTTCCGAGCGCTGCTAACCCAGTCAGGTATCCGAAACTTCATCGTGAACTTGATCATCTCGCTGTCCAACAACGACGAAAGCCTCCGCAACGAGCGCACCCTCCTGAACAAGCTCAACCTCGTCCTTGTCTCCGTCCTGAAGCAGGAGTGGCCCCACAACTGGCCGACCTTCATCAACGAGATCATATCGTCCTGCCACAGCAGCTTAGGAATATGCGAGAACAACATGGTCATCCTGCGACTTTTGTCTGAGGAAGTCTTTGACTACTCGGAGGAGCAGATGACTTCGGTCAAGCGAAAGGAACTGAAGCAGAGCATGTGCGACGAGTTCACGGCCATCTACCAGCTCTGTTCAGAGGTTCTGCGGACAGCCACCGAGGCGTCTCTGATTAAGGCCACACTCGAAACCTTATTGCGCTTCCTCAACTGGATTCCCCTCGGCTACATCTTCGAGACGCCCCCTAGCGGCCAGAGCCTGATCGAAACCCTGCGAAGCCGATTCCTCGAAGTCCCCGATTTCCGCAACATCACCCTGAAGTGCTTGACTGAAATCGCCGGTCTACACACAGAACCCGCGTACGACGATAAGCTCGTTTCCATGTTCACCGAGACATTGACGGCCATCTCGAAAATCATACCTCTTTCACTGGACCTGAAGAGCACATACTCTGCAAGCAATGGTCGGGACCAGGAGTTCGTTCTGAATCTGGCGCTTTTCCTGACAAACTTCTTCACCATGCACCTGAATGTCATCGAAAACCTAATGAACAGGGATTTTCTTACGCATGGTCACTTCTACCTCATTCGCATAAGCCAGATCGACGATCGCGAGGTATTCAAGATCTGCCTGGAATACTGGACCAAGCTCGTCTCGGAGCTGTACGACGAGATGCAGGCGCTTCCCATAACGGACATGAATCCTCTCCTGAATATGGGCATTCCCGGCAACGGCGGTCGCGAGTTGGCCAACTACCCTCTACGGAAGAACAAGTACACTGAGATTCTGTCCAACCTCCGCACAGTCATGATTGAGAAGATGGTGAGGCCCGAGGAAGTCCTCATCGTCGAGAACGATGAGGGTGAAATCGTCCGTGAATTCGTGAAGGAGAGCGATACGATTCAGCTGTACAAGTCCACTCGCGAGTGCCTCGTCTTCCTTACCCACTTGGACGTTAACGACACCGAGCAAATCATGTCGGAGAAGCTGGCCCGCCAAGTCGACGGCTCAGAGTGGTCATGGGCTAACTGCAACACCCTCTGCTGGGCTATCGGTTCCATCTCTGGCGCCATGAACGAGGAGACAGAGAAGCGCTTTTTGGTCACAGTCATCAAGGATCTACTCGGCCTGACTGAGATGAAGCGAGGAAAGGACAACAAAGCCGTTGTCGCCAGTAACATCATGTATATTGTCGGTCAATATCCTCGATTCCTCAAGGCCCACTGGAAGTTCCTGAAGACAGTCGTCAACAAGCTGTTCGAGTTCATGCACGAGACCCACGAGGGTGTACAGGACATGGCTTGCGATACGTTTATCAAGATCGCGAACAAGTGCCGACGACACTTTGTTGCTCTTCAGCCCGGAGAGACCGAGCCCTTCATCGACGAGATTGTTCGCAACCTGAGGAAGATCACCGCCGACCTCTCACCCCAGCAAGTCCACACTTTCTACGAAGCCTGCGGTTACATGATTAGCGCGCAAGGACAGAAGAGCATGCAGGAACGCCTGATCGCCGATCTGATGTCCCTGCCAAACTCCGCATGGGACAACATTATCGCCCAAGCTAACCAGAACCCCGCTTGCCTCCAAGATTCAGAAGTCATCAAGATTGTTGGTAACATTATGAAGACTAATGTCGCAGCATGTGGTTCAATTGGACCCTACTTCTACCCCCAGATCGGTCGGATATACTTCGACATGTTGACAATGTACCGCGCGAGCTCACAGCTCATCGACGAAGCTGTCCAGCGAGAGGGTAACGTCGCAACAAAGATGCCCAAGGTCCGCGGCCTTCGTACGATCAAGAAGGAGATTCTGAAACTTATCAACACATACGTTGAGAAGGCCGACGACCTGGAGATGATTCACAATAACATTGTACCGAAGCTGCTAGAAGCTGTCTTGATCGACTACAAGAACAATGTACCTGATGCTCGCGAGGCCGAAGTGTTGAACGTCATGACGACGATTATCAACAAGCTACATGTACGTTGGCGACCCAATCTGAGCAAGCACATGGTCGGACTCGCTCAGCCACCATCAAAATATATGCTAACTTTCTCGCAGAGCATGATGGAGGACCAGATCATCAACATCATGGACAGCGTCTTCGAATGCACCTTGGACATGATCAACAAGGACTTCTCGGAATACCCTGAACACCGTGTCGAGTTCTTCAAGCTTTTACGCACCATCAACCTCCGCTGCTTCCCGGCTCTGCTGCGACTCGATGCCCGATCATTCAAGTTTGTTATTGACTCCTGCATGTGGGCAAGCAAGCACGACAACCGTGAGGTTGAGAGCGCCGGTCTGTCCATGTGCTTCGAGCTGGTTTCCAACATGTCCGAAACAGACCAGCAAACCTGCAACTCCTTCTTCCAAACATTCTTCACGACCATTCTTCAGGATGTATTCTTTGTGGTTACTGATAGCGATCACAAAGCCGGTTTCAAGTCCCAGTCGATGCTGCTGGCTAAGATGTTCTGGCTTGTCGACTCAGAGAAGCTGCAGGGTCCAATCTACACGTCGCCAGATATGGCACAGGCAGGCACCCCGAACCGAGAGTTCCTGCGGAACTTTGTCGGCAACCTGCTGGCGACTGCCTTCCCCAACCTCCAGACGTAAGTCATATCCGTTAGCTTGTACGACCCATACTAATGAAATTCAGTGCTCAAATCGCATCCTTCATCGACGGACTGTTTGCGACCAACTCCGACCTGAACCGTTTCAAGGTCATCCTGCGCGACTTCCTGATCTCCCTGAAGGAGTTCTCCGGCGACAATGCTGAGTTGTTTGCCGAGGAGCGTGAACAGGCTGCAAAGACTGCGAAGGAGCAAGAGCGTGAACGGGCTATGAAGGTCGGTGGTCTGCTGAAGCCTTCGGAGATGGATGATGATGAGTTGTGACTTGACGTCGAGTTGAACGCAAATGTGGCTACGCGCACGCCCTATGATAGCGCACGCGCTCCCCACGAGTCTGCAGAAAACAAACGCTCCGACGATCCTCTCGATGGATGGGACATGTATGGCTTGTGAGTATCAGTGGTTATGGTGACTGAAGAGACGGTCGCAACGCTGCGTTGGATGGGAAGCGAAGAGTCAGTCGTGTCGGCAAACTTGCGAGGGTGGGAAAATGGGTTCGTTTTGGTCTAATACCCTATAGACCTGTTACTTGTTCATTTGATACATGATTACCTAGCTGGCATGGACGTAGCCTGGCTTGGCTTACAGACTAAAACTGAAGGGAGCGCTGTAGGCGTCAAGGCAACGTCGTATTGAGAGTGGAGAATAAAGCTCAAGCATTGAATCATCTTCCACTTGTGTTTCCTTGATACTACCTTGCGGCTACTGCGCATGTGTATATAAAGCTCACTCCTGGACTGTCCCACTGTAGGTTGGAGATGAGATAGGTAGCATCATGCAGGATGACGAGACCTGCCGGAATTCATGGCTCTATCGCGGAGAATCTTGCCATCCCGTGTGTATAGACCCACATGCCGATGAGCCTCGATGATGGCTGTAGCAGCGCGCGCGTGCGAACATGATGAGCGGCGTGTGCATCGGCAGTCGCGATCAGGTGCCCGGAGATGCAATCCTCTGCGGTTGAGCTACCTAGCTGAGCTAGCAGGAGCCACAGCTGGCCCTTACGTAACCCGGCGGCGCTGCCACTACAACGTCGGACGCGTCAATTGGGCAATGTGATCCTTCGCAGCATCCTAGCAGCGCGACGGGACTACTGTTCGGCAGAATATCCGCATGCGACACCTCCCCTGCCCCATGCGACCGACCTAACGACATCCGTCCGTGAGCAGTTGCTGAACCTCGTGGCGGCTATACGCCCGCTGATTCGCCCGCGCTCTACAGTCGTGTGAACGACATGGGCATTCTGCCCTTCTGCCAGCGTATGCACAATCTCGTGGCCCTCCTACAATGAGTCGTCGGTGGCGTTCTCAAACCAGGCCCCTCGTTCGGCATCTTCCAAATACCTGCTAACACGCTGTCTGACCAGGCCCAAGCGAGTCTATGGATTGAGCGGTCCACTGCAGGGTACCGCCAGCTGCATCGTGAGTGACTTCACTTCTCGACTTCCCTACCAACCACGCACGGCCGTTCTTTGGGCTGTCACCAGCAAGCCTCATCACGTCTTGAGCTTTTCTCCTGTCTCCACTGCCGAATAGGCGGCGGCTGAAGACCACACACCTGACATCGTGGGTCCTGTATGGTTGGATCTGCAACGCAACCCGGAACTGGATCCATCGCTTGTGCATCGTATGCGCATTGCCGCGAGGCTTCGAGAACAACACTTTTGAGTTTCTTCTTGCTACTAGCATCATGTACGTCTCCCCATCATATGGAGACCCTTCAACCCCGCCCACTGGTGGTTTTGAAAAAGACAGCCTCATCGACGAGTCTTGCTTCCAAAGAAGACACTACTGACTCAGCACGCTTTTCCAGGAAGTTCGGAAAGCACATCCAGAAACGGCAACTGGAAATTCCAGAATACGCCGCCAGCTTTGTCGACTACAAAGCACTCAAGAAGGTCCTTATGCTTTCCCTGCTATCAAGGCTTCACTGATCATGAATTCCGTAGCTCATCAAGAAACTTAGCGCTACCCCAGTAATACCACCACAGAGTGAGGGTGTTCAACATGAATCCCTGGATCCGCAATCGTCTTTGCAGGCAAACAAGGCCACTTTCTTCTTCCGAGTGGTAGGTCTTTGTGCCAGCGACATATACATAGATTCTTACTTGATGCGCAGGAACGTGAGCTCGAAAAGGTCAACACGTTCTACCTACAGAAAGAGGCAGAGGTATGTTCTATTCGTTGCGTGTGGGGTGCCCAGCGCTCACCGTTGTTGCAGTTGCGTCTGCGCTTGACCACGCTTCTCGATAAGAAGAGAGTCATGCAGCAACACCCGCAGTCTGTCTCCAAGACATCCTCGCGATATGTTGCCCTCGAGGAGGGGCTAAAGCAGTTTAGCATGGATCTTAACAAACTTGAGGTGATTGGTCCGCACGCACTCGGGGCTGCCCCCACTAACCTGACTTAGCAATTTGTGGAAGTGAACGAAACAGCCTTCTCAAAGATTCTCAAGAAGGTTTGATGCACCCACCCTTTGTCGTCAACGGCCTGCTAACTGTGCCTAGTGGGACAAAACATCCAAAGTCCGTTACCATCACCTGCGCATCACCGACATTGGCTGACTCCATACCAGTCAAGGGAAAAGCAGCTTTACCTCGCGCGCGCCGTCGAAGTCCAACCATGCTTCAACCGAGAGGTCATCAGCACGCTGTCCGACCAAGCAACCCAGGCACTCCTTGATTTCTCAGGATGGGCTGAAGGCGAAGGAGTGCAAGCCCCCCATCCCACAGCCGAACCGAGCGTCTCCGAACCTGCTTTCGAAGCGAAACTCGAGCTCGACAACCAATTTGTGCAAGCCATCAACACTGCCAACCAAGGCAAGATCGAAGAATGCCTCGCCCGCCTATCGACCCTCCCCGATGCACGCGACCACATCTCTAGGGCATTCCTCAGCACTGTTGCCGAAGCGCCAGAGTCTGCACTGAGAATTTTGCTCGACTCGAATCTTGTGAATCTCCAGCAAGAGGATGAGATCAACGAGCGAAATTGTCTCCATAAGTCAGCCATCAGCGGAAGGATCGAAGTACTCAAACTTGGCCTGTCGAGTAACGTGGATGTGCATGCGACGGACGTGTACGGCAGGATACCGTTGCATTACGCCTGTATGCATGGGTACGTGGAGCTGGTGCAGGAACTCATCAACGCTGCTCCAGAAACAGTGAACTTCCGGGATCAGGACAGCTTCACGCCCCTGATACATGCCATCGTTCACTCAAAGCTCGCTTGCGTGGAGATACTCCTTTCGCGAGGTGCTGATCTTACGCGTCTGGGTCCTGGAGAGCATGTGCCGCTCAATCTCGCATGCCAATATGCATCGCTAGAAATCCTGGAGCTCCTTCTACAAAGGTCAGCAGAGATGCTTTCGGATGCGGAAGGACTGTTCCCTCAACACTTGGTGGCACGATCGGGCAAGACGCCAGAAGCCTTGCTAATGCTACGAAAATACGGTGCCGACCTCGACCAACCAGACAAACTCTATCAATGGACGCCACTTTTCCACGCTGCGAGCGAGGGTCATGTGGAGTGTCTTAAGACGCTACTCCAATGTCAAGTCGACGTAGACATTGTGGATGAGAAGGGTCTTTCTGCCATGTACTACGCGACATGGGAAGGGCATCTAGAGTGCATGCAGCTGCTTGCTTCTGTTGGACGCGGTGTCGGGCTCATGACACAGAAACAAGCTTCGCCTCAAATATCCTCTCAGCTATCCAGCTCAATGCCTACAGCCATGGATATCGAAGGCGATCCTGACGGCATTCCCGAGTTCATCCTACCACCACCGATCATACCCTTCCGAAGATATGGTCACAACTTCCTGGACACGAAGACGTTCGTAGTCATCAACTTCGAGAAGGTTGGCAAAGACGCCATTCGATTCTATGACGAATCGAAGTACCCTGCCGCGAGGCTTACCATCTCTTCGAAGAGCTCCGATCTCATACCACGCAATATCCTGCTACCCATACAAGATGAGTTCAAGGTCATCTCTTTCCAGATCGAGAATCTCGATACCTTCTCTATCGACTTCGACGTGTACCCTACAATAGGATCAAAGGTTATCGCTCGCAGTGTGGCTTCTTCAAAGGTATTTACGGAGCGTTCGAAAAGCACGGGCCGATGGCATCTCGAACTGTTTGACCCAAGACTACGAGCCATTGGCAGAGTCACCTTCGACTTCCAGGTGGTGAAGCCGTTCCACGGAATACCGCTCGAGATTACACACTTTGCAACCTACTGGAAGGCTACTAGTCAACTGGACTCACAGCCGCACACACTCATCACGGGTTCCAGCTTGTCTGGTGAATATGTACGGCTGTTTGTTCAACTGACTGCAGATGGCATACCGGTGCTACATCCGAGATGGAAGGTCAATCATCACGGTCTAGAAGTCCCGGTCAACATCCTTACGTATGCGCAATTCGCTGCGATCGGCGTCGCGCAAACAACCACAGCCGCAGACCAACTTGCTGCAGAACTCGGCAACAATGGTTCGATCAACATACCAAACATCTACCAAATCATGGCATCGTCGTTCATTACGCTGAAAGATGCCTTATCGGCACTTCCGGCTCACATTCATGTGGAGCTGCACGTTCTCTTCCCATCTCGGCTCGAAGAAGAACGCCTCAAGCTCGGCCCGACGCACGACATGAACGCTTTCGCAGACAAGATCTTATCAGTAGTCTTTGAACATGCACGTCAATTGAGGGAGCAAGGTGCGGGCGAGATAGATGGGACACTGAGAAGTGTGCTGTTTAGCTCCTTCAACCAGGATATCTGCACGGTCATCAACTGGAAACAGCCCAACTGTGAGTTCTGTCATAAAAGAATCGATGCAACAGATGCTAACATTGAGATAGATCCCGTTCTCCTTTGCAATGAGCTCGGAGCCGACACTTCGCAGTCGCCTTCTGGAAATACAAACATCATTCAGAGCAGCGGCCGCACGACAACGTCTGTAAAGGAGGCTGTACAGATCGCTAGAGACAACAACTTCATGGGCCTGATTTGCAGTTCACGTTTACTGGTGAGAGGAATACGACTCAATACGCAGTTCAATTCTAACAAAGACTAGTCACTCGCTCCTGCCCTGATCGAATCGATCAAAACAGCCGGCCTAGTCCTCGTTACGGACATCACCGATTCCCCAGCCGAAGATGCCGCCCAACCCGCGAGCCTTCATGTGGCAAATCCGCGTCGACAGAACACACCTGACGGAGTCGATGGCTATCTCAAGGGCAACGGTGTACTCTGCTTCAACGA